ATAGTATAATCTCATACTTTTTGATTCATAATTAAAAAAATAAAAGAAAAATGTCATAACCAATAACACAACATGAAACATAATTAAAAAATTCAAGAGTCATAATTAAAATAATGTTATAACTAAAAAAAAAAATTGTTATAACTAAAGAAAAAAAATGTCATATCTAGGGGTGCATATGATGCACCGGTTTGAAGAGTGTGTATGTTAGAATTTTTCATAAATTACCCATCTATAAAAACCGTAAATTTAATAATCTCAAATCTTTTTAAAATAGGGATAACCAAATGATAATTTCAAACATGTAGAGCTTTATCACAAGAATATTATTGTTATTGCCTGGTTATAAGGTTGAGATTCTGAACGTGGTTTCGGCGATTTCATTCAAAGAGTCAAAACAACATCATCATTATAATAAATTGGTGAGCTTCTCTTGCAAGGTGGTAGCTTTTGGGCACATGTTCTACAAATGATATTTATTACATTATTATAATTAATTTTATTTTATGTTTAGAAGTGAGTTAAAAAAAAAAAAACAATGATCTATTTTTATTTTAAAGATATGATTAACTAAATATATTAGTGAGAGAGAAGTATAAATCATTGCTTTAATTTTTTTATTTTACTTTTACCTTTGAACCCTTTTTTTTTTTAATCTCTACTTTCCTTCTCTATTCTCAAACTCTAGTATCAATCGCCCCCCATCGCCAGTGTTGGAAAGTCGCCAAAAAATAGCCAGTGTTAGAAAAGTCACCGAAGATCAGTGGCGGATAGATAGCTGAACATATGGACAAATAAATGAGTAATATAGTTTTTCAAATTATTATTCTTCTTATAGGAAAAAAAAAAGAATAAAATTTAGAATAATTTTTTAGACTTATAGCCCCAGTGCCTTAAAATGTAAACAAAATTGCACTGAACATTTAGTACAAACCCAAAAAAAAAAAAACAACATTATAAGCACCCATAAATTGCTTCAATATATTGAGATCAAATACTCAAATATGGGATACACAAGAAGATGGGGTTTGTATAGAGTTTATGTAGTTGTACAACCTGTACGTATAAAATAATGGGATGGTTATTAAATTTTTCTAATATCATAACCGAACTCTATTTATGTTTTGGTGATCGATTAAATTCGTCCGATAGTAGAGAGCTGTGTTTTGATGATCAATTAAATTCGTCCAATAGTAGAGAGTTGTATGGTCTTTAAGTTAAAACTAACCAACTGGAATGGAATATATTAATATATTATAGAGTCTGGTGACTAATTGATCACATTTTTTGTGGTGACCAAGTGATCACTAATGGGGCTCAATATAATATTTTGGGTCTTTTTTGTGTGTTTTTTTTTTTTTTTTTTTTTTTGGCAAGCAGTAGGTAGGATATTAATTACAAATATGAAAACAATTATATCAAACTGGTCCATCAAGCACAAGAATACATAGCTAGAAACCCATCAATCATCAAGCCCAACAATCACTATCAGAAGAAAAATGTTTGGGAGCACAAATTTGACACCCCAAGGCCATGTTTGTTTGGGTGGATATGAGCTTGGGATTGGACTAATAGTCCAATAAAATTATTAATCCGATGTTTGGTTAAACAATTGAAGTACGGACTAATTATTTTAAACTTGACTATTAGTTAAGATAGAATACATAATTCAACGAATTCGTAATCCTAGGACTATTAGTCATGGGAATGCTAATCCAGTCCGCCTAAACAAACATGGCCCAAAAGTGCTATATTGGGGGATTTAGCACCTCTCCTATAAGAAATAGCCGAACTTGAAAAGAGATAAACAATTATATACAACTCTCATAATACAACTCTCTTAATAGGAGAGAAAATATAATAAATCTTTGTCATTGAATAGAATGGATCCCAGGACATTGGGGTATGGCTCAAGGGTCTAGTAGCCATACATTAAAGTGTGGTAAGTGAGAAGTCAGGATTTTGAGCTAATGAATCAACAAATCCTTTAATCGTAATTTAACTATACAAATATACTAATGCTATCTTTGATTTTTTTTAATAATAACAATAATAAAATAAAAATAAAAAAACAACAACTAGAATTGGCCCCCTCATCTTATGAATAGAAGTATACAAAAGTGGCCAATTGAGCTATCACAATTAGTTAAAATTCTACAACCCGTTTGTACCAAAACAAATCAATATTACAGTTCGACTTTTTTTTAATGACTTCTTATACCTAGTTTGGTTAACCTTTTTCAATGACTTTTAACATTTTTTTTTAATTTATTGACTTTTTAGCCAAAAACTTAGGATAAATTACAACGGTGATCCTTGTAGTTTATCCTTTGTGTCAATTTAGTCTATCTACTTTCAATTGCACTAATTGAATTAATTTCATTTTACAACAAGTTGGGTCTTAAATGACGAATTTTTTGTCTTCCAAGAGCTAATTTCGTCACTATAGATATTTGTGAGAAAATATTTTCCTCACCAATTTTGTCATTGAATGTTTGTCACTAAAAATCGCTGTAAGAAAAAATAATTTCGTCACCAATGAAACTACTTCAGTGACGAAAACTTTTGTCACCAATATGACAACATTTTATCATCAAAAATCATCATTTTCATCACCAAATAGTTATTCAGCACTGTATATATAACTTAAGTTGATGAATAAATTTGTTACACATGTTGATCATTGATGAGGAAATAATTTCGTCACACTAAGATGTAAAATTGACTAAATTTTTCATCTCCAAAAGTCCGACATGGGTGACGAAATATATTTTGTGGCCAAAATATATATACATTACGAAGTTTTTAGCCACCAAACAACAAAATCAATAAAAACCTTCACATATAAACAAGGATAAAGTTTGCACAAAAAATATTTATTAGCGACGAATAATTACTTTGTCATAATACAAGTACATATGACGAAAAAAATTGTCACTAAACTTGTTCCATTATTTATATTTCAATTTAAATTGTTATTTCACAAATATCTCTACTCATATCCCAATAAACTACTAAATGTACTAAGAAATCCACTAGCTATTATACATAACTCCGCACAAAAAATTTGCTAAACAATTTATATTATAAATCAAAATATATCCATCAAACAAATTTAATAACAATTCATTAACTATAACAAAGACCATCACAGCAAATCTCAAAATGAACTAAGTATCAATCCACAAAAATAAAATCAATACTTGATCTTAAGTTGCAAGTAGAACTAAGTGTCAGTCCACAAAAAAAAAAAAATTAACACTTGATCTTGATTTGCAAGTATGCTTCCAAATGTCATCAAAAATCAATCTGGGAAAAAAATAAAAAAGGAAAACATTAATATATTATCAATTTCATCTAAACTCATATATAAATAATTTTATATATGATTAAACCAATTTAGCAAAAATGCGTTTTCTACCAAAACTTGACTTTCATCTGTACTAAATCACTAAACACAACAGCTAATCTAATTGGGGGCAAGTTCTTGCAAGTTATATAAACACCTATCATATCTTCATGTAAATTTTGTCATTTCTATACATCATGGCATGAGTTTTGGAAAAACATTTACATTGAGAATGGTTATGTTGTAATGAGAATTATGAGAATGTTAAAGGGGGTAAATACGTGGTAAGTCCGGATAGGGGTGTAGTTGTATTTGATAAGATGGCCTGAGTGTCCTTGGTGAAAGACCAGAAAATCGCGCGGATAGGTGTCGAGCCTTCCGGTTAGCACCGGTAAAAATGACAGCTTGGTAGTGCTTGCTAAGCCTACTTACGGAAACCAACCTAGGGATTACCAGTGATGTATTTACCGTCCCCTTATGATTTAAAAATTGGAAGTGTGGGAATTAATGAGGTTGCATAAATGTTGATTGAAAGCTTATCGATTTTCAAGAATAGCATAATATGAGATTTCCTTTAAACGGCATGGCATAACATGTGCATCTACATAAAATATTGTAAATTTTTGCATAAATGTACATACTTTGTTAGGGATTCTCTACTGGGCTATGTGCTCATCCCTATGGGTTTTGGTGTAGGTTAAGATGTGGTGATCCTGCCGAACTGAGGGTGTGGATGTTTTGAGAAGAGTACTTTACTCTTTTATTTTTGTGATATTCTTTTGAGCCAAGGGCTAATGTGTATGGGTTGCAGAAACCATTTTTTGTGTAACCAGGCTTATGCCTTGGAAGATGTAAGCCCTTAAGGGCATTGTATTGTTTTAAGAATGGATGCTTTACATGCTATAGATTCATAAGTTTTGTATCGATGAATGTATACCCGCATGTAAAACCTTTGTAAGGACTCTTTATTAATTATGTAAAGATGGGCAGATTATTGTTATTGTTGAGTGAATGTTGATTACTTGTGGGTAGTTCATGTCAAATTATTTCGGGGCGTTACAACTTGGTATCAGAGCTACCGGGTTTGAATACTTGGGGCTCGTGGGAAATGGTTGTCATACCACAATGGGTTCATTTCACATGATTAGGAAATGTTTTTCTTATTTGTGATTATGTGATAGCATGCTTATGTGACTACGTGGGTATGGGATTAGACTTTTGGAATGTTATTCGCGTCTATTAGATTTCTTGAGGTCTTATTAGAAGGGTACTTGATCAATACTCATTCTACTAAGAATTCTTGGTTTCTCGAGGGACGAATCTCATCACTAAAGGATAATTCATATGTGTTTATGTGACTAAGTGCTTATGTGGGGTGAATTAAATTGTTTGTGTGATATATGCATGTAATTATTATAGTTTAACGTGTGAGGCAAGTTGCGAGCACATTTGGAATTATGTTCTAAATTATCTGTCTTGTTCTTTAATTAGGATGTCAGGAAGGGTTCGAACTCGAGGTGGTAGGGGTGGAAGGCGAGGTCGAGGTCGCCGGGGTGTGTTTGAGGTGCCGATCCAAGAGGTCCTGGTACAAGAGGAGGGTTTAGGCCAAACCGACATGGCCAAACAAGTGGGGCAAGCTGGCCAAGCCGTAATGGGGGCTCTAGCCCGAGAGATGGCGGGGGCTTTGAGGGAGTCCATGAACATTTTGAGGGCAGAGACCCAAGCGAGGGAAAATATTGCGGAGACTAGAGCTAGCTTCCTCATGAGGGAGTTTTTAAGGGCCAAGCCGGATGAGTTCCATGACGGCCCCGATCCAAAGAAGGCGGATGAATGGTTGGAACAAACCATGAAGACCTTTGATATGCTCCATATAGATGATGGTGAACTGAGGGTGACCCATGCTAGTTATTACCTCAAAGATGACGTCGGCCAATGGTGAAAGTATGCAAAGGGCCAGGTAGCACCGACATGGGAGGCATTTGTGACGGCCTTCCAAGATAAGTACCTACCTCCCACTGCTAGGGAGAGGTTGAGGCAGGAGTTCAAGGATCTTAAGCAACTTAGCATGTCTGTGGCCGAATTTGAAGCAGCCTTTTCTAGCTTGTCTCGGTTTGCATCGAAGTTAGTAGCGACGGAGGAGCGCCGTTGCTTTGAATTTGAGCAGAGGTTGAGGATGAAGATTTTGTTCAAGGTTGCCGAGAACATGATCCGGAATTATGATCGCCTTGTGGAGGCGGCTGCACATGTGGAGATTACGGTGGAGGCCGAAGAAGAGAGACTTCGAGCTTCGAGGTCTAGGGGCCAAGGGTCACAGGGGGACTTTAGGCCCAACAAAAAGAGTAAGAGCACCTTTTCATCCCAGTCTCAGCTGCAACAATCTAGATCTACCTTTCCCTTGCCTAGTACGGGCTCGGGAAAAGGTGCATCGAGCGGGTTCTCTTGTTTCAAGTGTGGCCTACCGGGTCACAAGACCTTTGCACGTCCGCAGAAGGGAGGAGGACAGCAGATGTTGCCATCACCACCACCAAACCGATCCCAGAGTTAGTCCCAGTCTCAGAGTAGGGGGCAGGGGCCTACTTGTTTCCAGTGTGGTCAGTCAGAGCACATGAGGAGAGCTTGCCTGCAGTTGGGAGGCGCATCTGGCGCATTTGGGTCGAGGCGGACTCGGAGTCATCAGCAGACCCATTCAGTCCAGGCTTCGAGAGTCCACCAGGAAGCCGCTTTGGCTCAGTCAATACAGCAGGCCTACGCTTCGAGGGATGAGTAGGTTGACCAGAGGCCTCAGGGGCGCGTGTATGCTGTTACAGCGCTAAAGCAGTTGCCAGGACCTTTAGTTGTGAGAGGTATATTTATTGTGTGTAATTCATTGGCCAGTGTGTTGATAGATACGGGTGCGTCTCATTCATTCATATCTGCTGCATTCGCATCTGCATTGGGGTTAGAAGTGGTACAGTTAGTGTCTCCACTCAGAGTTGAGACACCAATTGGGGGTACAATTGACCTAGACCAGGGATGTAGTGATTGTGAGATAAAGGTTGCCGAATGCAGACTTCTGTTTGCTTTTGTGTTGTTAGACATGTCGAGTTTTGACGTCATCCTGGGCATGGATTGGTTGTCATCGTATCAGGCAATAATTGATTGTTTTCAATGGAGGGTCACGGTGTGCACCACGAGTGGGGATTGTTTTTACTTTTTGGGAGGCCGGGTTGATAGAGTTTTTGTCGCTAGTTGTTGATCCTCGTAATAGGAACGAGCTTAGCGGCCTTCTAGCTACTCTCTTGGATGGTGAGAGTGTTGAAACTTGAGTTAAGTTGCCAAGGGTAGTGTGTGAATACCCGAAAATGTTTCCCGAGGACCTTACTAGTTTGCCACCCCACCGGGAGATTGAGTTCACCATCGACTTAGTACCTAGAACGGCACCAATTTCTATGGCGCCGTATAGATTTGCACCCGCAGAGTTGCATGAGTTGAAGATTCAACTCCAAGAGCTTTTAGACAAGGGCTTCATTCGCCCTAGTATGTCGCCTTGGGGAGCGCCGGCTCTCTTTGCAAAGAAGAAGGATGGGTCGTTACGATTGTGCATAGATTACCGCAAGTTGAACCGAGTCACTGTCAAGAACAAATACCCTTTACCCAGGATAGACGACTTATTCGACCAACTTAGAGGATCTTGTTGCTTTTCGAAGATAGACTTGAGGTCAGGGTACCATCAGTTGAGAGTCTATGAGGAGAACATCCAGAAAATGGCCTTCCATACGCGTTATGGCCACTACGAGTTCCTAGTAATGCCATTTGGGTTGACTAACGCACTGGCTTCCTTTATGGATTTGATAAACCAAGTATTTAGGGAGTACTTGGATCGTTTTGTGGTCGTCTTCGTGGACGACATCCTTATCTATTTGACCTCCAAGGAGGAACATGAGACTCACTTGAGGATAGTGCTTGACTTGCTTAGGGAGCATCAGTGTTATGCCAAATTTGAGAAGTGTGAGTTTTGGCTCACCGAGGTGAAGTTTCTGGGCCATGTGGTGTCAAGTGAAGGGGTAACAGTAGATTCCTCGAAGATAGATTCTGTGCAAGATTGGGAGCAACCTAAGAATGTCTTTGAGATTCGGAGTTTCTTGGAGTTGGCGGGGTACTATCGTTGAGTTGTAAGAGATTTCTCTAGATTAGCCGCGCCTTTGATTCGATTGACTAGAAAGGGGGTTAAATTTGTGTGGAGTGAGCTTGTGAGAAGTCTTTCCAGGAGCTCAAAACTAGATTGACCACGGCACCGATATTGATCATTCCAGAGAGAGGATTGGGGGATACTGTCTTTTGTGATGCGTCTCGGGATGGGCTTGGTTGTGTTTTGATGCAAGAGGGAAAGGTTGTAGCGTACGGTTCTCTTCAGTTGAAAATTCATGAGAAGAATTATCCAACCCACGACTTAGAGCTAGCGGCGGTAGTCTTTGCCTTGAAAATTTGGAGGCATTATTTGTATGGTGAGAAGTTTGAGGTTTTCTCCAACCATAAGTGCTTGAAGTATTTGTTTTCCCAAAAGGATTTGAATCTACGTCAACGGAGATGGATGGAATTTTTAGAAGATTACGATTTCGAGTTACACTATCACCTAGGGAAGGCCAATGTAATGGCCGACGCCTTAAGCCGAAAGACCGTGAGTAGCCTGGCGAGTGTGGCCATTCAGGAGTGGAGTATGTTGGGTGAAGTCGGTAAGTTTGGGTTGCAATTGGGTGAGTCCGAAGAAAGTGCTACATTGTTTACCTTGTGTGCTCAACCTGTTTTGATTAGTAGAGTTGTAGAGGCACAACAGGGAGACCGCGAAGTGGAATTAATTCGGGAGAGAATCTCCAATGGGAAGGAGGAGAAAGGTTTGAACATTCACTCGGATTAGAGTATACGCTACCTAAACTGTTTATTTGTGCCTGAATCTTGTAGAGAGGAGGTGCTTCGGGAATTCCATCATGCACGCCTTGCGGTACACCCGGGAGGCATCAAAATGTATGGTGACCTTAGCCGTCAGTTTTGGTGGAGGGGTATGAAGCGGGATGTCGCATCCTTTGTGTCCAAGTGCCTTACTTGTCAACAAGTGAAGGCCGAACATCAAAGACCAATGGGTTTTTTACAACCCTTACCTATAGCCGAATGGAAGTGGGAACATGTGACCATGGACTTCGTAGTTGGGCTTCCTGGAACACAACGGAGCAATGATGCCATTTGGGTAATTGTCGATAGATTGACTAAGTCCACACACTTCCTTCCTATGCGAACTAGCGACTCAGTTGAGCACTTGGCAGAGTTGTATGTTAGGGAGATAGTTCGGCTTCATGGGGTGCCAGTCACCATTGTGTCAGATAAGAATCCTCATTTTACCGCTCGGTTGTGGCAAAGCCTACAAGAGGCATTGGGAACCAAGTTAACCTTTAGTACCACTTACCACCCGCAGACCGATGGGCAATCGGAATGCACTATACAGATTTTGGAAAATATGCTTAGAGCTTGTGTCCTAGATTTCAAGGGGTCTTAGGAGATGCACTTACCTTTGATTGAGTTCGCCTACAACAATAGTTACTAGGCTAGCATCGAGATATCAAAATGTATCGTGACCTTAGCCGTCAGTTTTGGTAGAGGGGTATGAAGCGGGATGTCGCATCCTTTGTGTCCAAGTGTCTTACTTGTCAACAAGTGAAGGCCGAACATCAAAGACCACCGGGTTTTTTACAACCCTTACCTATAGCCGAATGGAAGTGGGAACATGTGACCATGGACTTCGTAGTTGGGCTTCCTGGAACACAACGGGGCAATGATGCCATTTGGGTAATTGTCGATAGATTGACTAAGTCCACACGCTTCCTTCCTATGCGAACTAGCGACTCAGTTGAGCACTTGGCAGAGTTGTATGTTAGGGAGATAGTTCGGCTTCATGGGGTGCCAGTCACCATTGTGTCAGATAAGAATCCTCATTTTACCGCTCGGTTGTGGCAAAGCCTACAAGAGGCATTGGGAACCAAGTTAACCTTTAGTACCACTTACCACCCGCAGACCGATGGGCAATCGGAATGCACTATACAGATTTTGGAAAATATGCTTAGAGCTTGTGTCCTAGATTTCAAGGGGTCTTAGGAGATGCACTTACCTTTGATTGAGTTCGCCTACAACAATAGTTACTAGGCTAGCATCGAGATTGCACCGTTTGAGGCCTTGTATGGTCGACCTTGTAGGTCACCGGTTTGTTGGGCCGAGGAAGGGGATACACCGTTGTTGGGTCCAGAGATTGTGAGGGAGACAACCAAGAAAGTTGCACTCATTCGTAAGAGGTTGGCTACAGCTCAAAGCTGACAGAAAAGTTATGCCGATAAGAGGAGACAACCCTTATCCTTTGATGTGGGTGATCACGTGTTTCTTAAGATCTCCCCTAGGAGAGGTTTAATGAGGTTTGGTAAGAGCGGGAAGTTGTCTCCGAGGTTCATTGGGCCTTTCGAGCTATTGGAGAGAATCGAAGAAGTGGCCTACCGATTAGCCTTACTGCCACAACTTTCGGGGGCTCACTATGTGTTTCGTGTGTCAATGCTTAGGAAATACGAGCTCGACCCTTCTCATGTGTTAGATTGGATTGATTTGGAGGTAGATGAGGACGCCTCTTATGAGGAGCGACCGGTTCAAATTCTAGATAACCGGGAGCAAATGTTGCGGGGTAAGACCATACCGTTAGTAAAGGTGTTGTGGAGGCACCATGGAGTTGAAGAAGCGACTTGGGAGAGGGAGGCGGAAGTCCGCTCCAAATATCCAGATTTGTTTGAAAATGTTTAGTTGTTTGCTTTAATTTGTAATGTGTCCTTGTAATGAAGGGAGAGGGGTTAGATTGTTAATGGTAGGTTGTTGTATGTGTTGTTGATCTAACCTTGAGGTTGTGAAAGAGAGACATTTTGCCATGAATGTTTATTTCTGAATGTTTAATATGAGGAATTATTATGTTGAAGAATGAGGAAAAAGAGCATAATACCTTATTATGGATGTTTCGTTTCATTCTAGCTTGAGCAATTACATTTTGTTGAGAAAATGATAAGGAAAATGCCAAACGTTAGTTGAACATGAATGTTGTAAATTGTTAATGTTGTTGAATTAACTATTGTTGATAGAACACTCTTGTTTAGGGGGTTTATTCGAATTTTGGGGATGAAATTTCTTATGGTGGGAAGGTTGTGACGACCGGCCTTCTTTTTCTCTTTATTCTTTCCTTCCTTCGCTTCACTCTCTTTTATTCTTGTTGAATTGAAGTGTCCAGAAAGGGTTGCTGGCATATTATAATCACCGAAAGTCACTTAGTATTTTATTAGCCGAAAGGCACTAGGGTCTGTAATCATTGTTATGCCCTTAGGGATCATCTTGTAATTGTCTTGTTTGTAACCCTAATCTTCATCTATAAATAAGGGGTGATATCTCATCATACCCTAAGCTGATTATTCAAGCTTCAAGGGTTTCCAAATATTTTTCTTCCGGTGTTGAAATTTTGTTTGTCACAGAGGGTGCACGGGTGAGTTCGGG